TGTTCGTTATAATAATTATTCGTTCGGCAGTCCATATCCGTTTGATGTCTTCTTTTTTATAAGTATACAATTGCTTCTACACAACTTGATAAAGAATTTTACGAGTCTTCCTAATTGAGACCACTTTCTATCAAAAAATTTCGAAGTCTTAATTACATCAAACAAACGTCAGAGACCGGTCAAGTGAGAGTGAGAGCGAGTGTAAAAAAGTGGGCTCAATTCAGAAAGAGCCGAATTTTAATATAGAGATGGTGATGTCATGCAAGATACAGATACATTTTGCATTCATTTTCAATACACTTTCAAACTCCGGATAGTTTCCAAGAAAATCAAGTGAACAAGCGAACAAGAGTCAACGTATTCAACTTATTTTCTTTTTGAAATTGAATAAAAAACTTTTGAAACAGGAGTTTGTCCATACCATATACTGTCAATCACTAATAGGGAAGAAAGACCAGGTAATTGCGTTTTTTCTATCCGTTTCGTAACCGTTTTTCTCTATTATTTGCTTCACTAGTGTCTGTTTGACTGACAATATAAATAACAAATTGTCTTTCTCGGTAATGCAATCGGTTTTAGAAGTATATGATTAGACATCAAGAACTCTCTTATACAAACATATCAAGTACTCAAGAACAACAACTGATGAACTTTCAGACGATGCACCTAAACAAAAGGAGGGGGATTAACTTCATCAGAAAACGGCCCACTGATTTTTGCTTATTGTGACTTGTTGTTGTAGAAAAGACGTTTGGACACATGTTCCAGTTGTTCTTATAGAAAATAAGCTCAAAATACGTTTTTAACGTTGATTGTTTTTTGAGATTCCATTAGAGGACGTCGTCGTTAGAAAAAATAATATTTTTGAAAGTCCAGTATAGACTTCACACAAATCTGATTTAGTTGATTTACTCTACAATATTCTATATAAAAAACCTTTAAACTACTACTTACTCAAAATAATCGAAACATCGCTGATATCGTCTTTCAGGTACAATTTCTCTCTTGTAGAAACTATAAGTGGCTCGGCCAATAGTGGTTAAAGGTTCTTTATATAGAATATTGTAGAGTAAATCAAGGGCTATTTTTCTATACTAAATACAAACTGGATCCCCGTTTACATATAGAGAAAAAAGTACTTAAAACATCTCTGATACCGTCTTTTAGGTCAATTTGTCTATTGGAAAATAATTTCTTTCTGTTGAAATGATATATAAGGATTGTTCATAGAATATTTTATTCAGTTTGTCACTGGCTATTTTGTCATAACAAGATTTGTGTGAAGTCTATACTGGACTTTCAAAAATATTATTTTTTCTAACAACGACGTCCTCTAATGGAATCTCAAAAAAACCATCAACGTTAAAAACGTATTTTGAGCTTATTTTCTATAAGAACAACTGGAACATGTGTCCAAACGTCTTTTCTACCACAGCCAAGTCACAATAAGCAAAAATCAGTGGGCCGTTTTCTGATGAAGTTAACCCCCCTCCTTTAAGCCCAAATTTAAGCTGATAATTCTTGAATTTTCTTTAGAGTCGTGGAACCACTTGAAAATCGATTTTTTGATCCTTTAGAGCATTATTTTTTCAAAATTCTTACTGTCAGCTCGTCTTTCAGACTTTGCTTTAGAACTTTGGGTCCAAATACGGTAGGCATGTCAAACAAATAATTTTCTTTCCAGTAGTTCGGACAAAAGTTTTTCCAATTACTTTATGTACGATGAATAGGCTGTACGGACAGGCAGTTTTTAAGAGTAAAACTGAAATGGTAAGATTCAAGCAAAAAGCAGGAAGAATTTTTTCCGATTGTTCGTGCCGATTATCCAGCAAAACTGACAACTTTAATAATTCATAGTTTTTCAGCAAAGTGGTTTCTAATAAAATGGAAAACAGTTTCATGCCGCATCTAACCATATACCTTTAATCTCATTTCCAGCTAGGCAAATTTTTCCTAAAAACCAGCGGTGTCCTTTTGTTGATTCTTATAGTCAGCCTTTATTTAGTGCTTTTTGTTCCTATGTCTTGCACAACCGAAGAAACGAACAAAACATTTTTTTAGAATCATTTATAGATATAGGATTCATTTCACTCACATCATTTTGTAGCCCATATCTAATTACACATACGGTAAGACGTTCGAACCTCCCAGACACGTTTTTCCCATTTTCTTTTAACGTTTAAAAGTTTAAAAGAAATTTTTTTAAAAAGTTCACTGTCCATTAAAGAACAGTGTTCTAATGATAAGACTGCCTGCAATCGACCAAGGAAATCGAACTGCCTATGTGCTTAAATTACTGCGAACTTTGAATGAAGTTCGGTTAACAAAAATTTTGTTTTTTCTTGATATGTCGATTTTCCCGAAAACTAGTATTTTTTAAGAGCCTTGCCACTAATTGTGGCTCAACGAAGCACAATGGAGCAAAAATTTTGCTAACAAAAGTCTTTCTTAGGTGCCAGATTGGGTACTGAGTGTAATATCGTTTCCAGTATAACAGAAAAAGTTTAAGAAAAATCAAATTTAATAATTTGAAATTATTAAAAAACTTAAAATTCAATTTTACTCAAAATTTTGCCGTTACACTGAAAAAAGTATTACACTGAGTACCCATTTGGCCGATAATAAAGAGTTTTGTCAACAAAAACTTTCCTCCATTGTGGTTCGTTGACCCGCAATCTGTGGCAAAGTTTTTAAAAAATATTACTGTCCGCCCGAAGATATAAGATCGGTAGTTGTTTTCTGAATAACTAAAAGACGATAAGAGGTGCCGACTTGCCGCAGACTTCTGCAGTCGAAAGAGGACAGTTTAACCTATATTTTCATAGACAAAGACGTTTTTTGAACAAATTTCTGAAATCGGTCTTTCAGAAAGTCTCTGGAAAACCAATTTGTACATAGCAAGCAATCGAGTTTTTTTCATTGATCGATAATCCAAAGTGTCTTCTACAAAATAATATCTAAATAAAGGTTTCACTTTGCTTTATTCAGGAGCTTTGGACGTTTTCTCCGGAGCCATGGGACTGCTCTATGCTTCGTTCTGGGACCTTCTGAAATTATGAAAACATAGATTATCGAACACGCTGAATCTCGTGGCAATAGTAATTTTCAGAAGAAAGTGCAAGAACGCAGTGAAAACCTCTACTACGTGAAAGTAATTCAAATACTTCATTTACTTACAAAAAAATCAGGCACGTTGGACGAAACTTGCGAGAGCACTGGGACAAGTATCTGTATGCAAGTACATTCATCAGGATAACCTACTAACACTACTAACAACTAACAAGAGTATGAGAACAGAATAGGTCACAAACAATGGATGATTGCACTCAGAAGCAAATTTAACCGTACAAATCCGGCGCAAGTGTACCTAACAAGTGCTAGCTTTATTTCATGCATTGGAGCTTAGGGGTATCAATAGCCCTTGGTGACACTTCTAATGGTCGTGTCAATAGACCCACTCATTTTTCTTTTCTCTCCATTGTGCAAACATCCCTTTCTTTCACCGTGTTATTTGTGTCATAATTAATTGACGTAAAACAAGTCAGTAAAATGTCTCCATCCGTGTCGTGTACTTCATGTGCTACGAAAGGAAAATAATTTTCTAGTTGAAAGACTGCAAAATAGAACAGGTAAATATATTCTGTTCATTGAATATCATTTATCGGTTATTAGTATGTTTTTCTTATTTATTATTCAGGGCCAATATTTCTAACATCAGAAAACGATAAATATGAAAACAATATGAGTATGTAATAAAGTAAGCGACTAGTTTTGAACTGTCTACTGAAAAATCATAAAACGCCTTCGCATTCTCACCGGTAGAAAAGAGAAATCCGCAGAATCGTCTAAAATACTGCGCGATTTTTCTACTTTTGTTCAGCGTGCGACTTTACAGACTCAGTCCAGAATATTCGCGCGTTGAACAATTCGAACAATTATGCTGCTGTCAAAGTCAACGTCGCTTTCTACTTAATTAGTCAATGATGTAGTAGGCTTCAACCCCTCTTCTCCTGAATAAAAGGCTATGGTCCTCTATTATTGTTTCGCACACTGAAAATTTTTTTCAGAAAGGTGGTGATACTTTACATTTCCCTCCAAACTCTACTTCTATTCTATTAAGGATGGTCTTCTAATCTGCGCAGGAGTTTATCACACTTTCTTCTCTAGAGAACTTATAGCTTTACTGCTAATGGAGTGAAATTCCGTAACATTTATTTGCTATTTTGTTACTCTTATAAAGACTATCGAACAACGAGAAGACGAGAACTTTAGAATGTCTCAAATTAAAGTCAAAAATATACTAAAGACTTTGAGATATACTCACACTCTATACCGTCTTTCATTCAGAATATGTGATAACAATGGAAACACCTACGTTTCGAAATTTATTAGAAAACGACATTTATATTAAATTATAAAAGTAACAAAATGTAAAAAAACAATACGGAATTTTACTGTAGCAGAATGCACTGCAGTTTGAATGACGCGTATACATTCCCCAAATTTTTTAAAATCTTCACGATATGCAGAAAAGCATTCATTCTGGTCACCTTTCTCCTCATCTACTCTCGCCATAGATATCTGTCATAAGAGAATATCTACTAATGGTATCAATAGACACAAGGACTGCTTTCTGAAATCGCAGGAAGTCGAAGAATTTAAATAACTTATTCGGTTGTTTTCAAATAATAGCGGAAGGCCTGTCAAATGTAGAAATTAGGATCATAACGATTTGGCTCGTTATGAAAACAAGAAACTCTTGTCGCTGATATTCCTGATTTTACACGAAGTGCGAAGCTTCGCTTCTTTAGTGGATAGATAAGAGCCAGCACGAGAAAACTTATCATAATTTAGTGAAATGTGAGAAGTTCTATAATAAAAAGTAATATGTGTAACCGTACGGTAAAATTTTATGATGTTATAGATTTATCATAAACGTTACGCTTATTGAATTTACTCTTAAAACGTTCTTCTTTCGTATTCTGACGAAAATAGCAGATATGACATTGAACAAAGTAATTGGTACTCGTGTGGAAACAATAACGAACAATGCTCAAAATCTCACCAATGACCAGGTTGTACTCATCTTCAATGATTTTCTCAGCGAGGTAACCAAACAATACGAAGAGTGCGAAGTTGATGATTGCTTGGAAACTATTGAATATATTTTGGATGTGATTCTGAAAATTCCCATTAAACAACTAATATCAGAATCTATAATCTCGCATGCTCTATTTCCATTTTTTCGTGATATTACCATTCGTATATTAAAAAAATGGCGTTCAGAATGTTCACGCTTGAATATTCGAGAAACAAATATATTTGAAAAAATTATTCAGTTATTCTCATCACTAATCGATGATACTGACGTAATCACTAAATTATTGACCAACGAAGAACTATTTGCAGAAGTGAAATTGCAAATGGAGGATAGTTGGAATAATAAATTGAATGTAAATGATGATCCAAATATCACTAACCTAGGATTATTCTGTGTGCATACTTTGAAAAATACCGGCCTATTTGATAACAATAAAAATATCTCATTACTAATCGGTCATATAACAAATTGTATTAAATCATTGGATTATATCAGCGCATTAAAAAAACTTCAGCTGGAACCTAATATTCTAAGTCACACCGATAAATTTCTATTATACACATGTTTTGAATATTTTCCAAAACGTTGTCCACCGGATAGTAAACAACACATTGTTATCGATCTTTGTAGTGCGATGCTGGAACGTTATGAATATACCTTGGAGCATTTACTGTCATCCAATGTTGAATTTAGCAAACATTCAGTTATTATCTCGTTAGAGTATATTCTTAACATTTTTTACTTGTTATTAGACGCTGAAGTACCAAATACATTTAGAAAACATGCAAAAATCGTTGATCATTTACTCACTATTCTTAGTAATAAAACTCTATTTGATTATCTTCAATTAAGGCCCGACGATAATAATAACTATTTCAATACTCCTTCTACTACTACGTTAATGTTGTCAGCTATTAAAACGTTTGATGCCGCATCATCTAATCCGGATTTATTACCGATCATTAAAGATAAACAAAAAACAAAATTATTCTTGAAATTAGCTACAGTAAGTCATGAAGAAATAAAAATTTATGCGAATAACATAATGGCAAATACTATAAGCGAACATGAATTGGAATATATGGGTAATGCACAAGAAATGACTTCAATGTATATTGATAAATTGAAACAAATTTCAAGTAATCCTAAAGAAGCATCAAAATCATTATCTGGTTTAAAAGGTACATGAAAATATTTTAGATCTAATTCTGTTTTTCTCTTTTACCCTATTTCTGTAGCACTTGTTCAGCACGATCACATTAAAGATGAACTTATTAGACAAGATGGTCTTTCACTATTGATAAAGTACGCTTGTAATGATTATTCGATTGAAACACAACGTGATGCTCTAGATATTCTATGGACTACTGCTTTCAACGATGATGCAGCTGCCGCTCTGAAACATGATGAAAAATTTATGACATATGTCAAGTCGTTGCTAACCTCAAATGATCCAAAATTGAAAAAGACAGCTGAGGGGATCATCTGGAAACTGGAAAAAGAGAAAGAATTCAAAGAGAAAAAGGCTAAGTTATCAGGAACAAACGAGACGGATAATGCTAGTGACGAGGAAGAACCAACAAAAGTTGAATATGATATAATGATCAGTTATTCATGGGCCGATCAAGATTTGTGTGCAAAAATTCATGAAGGACTTCTTGCCAAAAGTTTTCGGGTATGGTTAGATAAAAATGAAATGCACGGATCAACCATTGAAGCAATGGCAAATGCAGTAGATTCATCTGAATTCATTTTGATGTGCATGTCTGAGACATATAAGCGAAGTACCAATTGTAAATCGGAAGCAGAATATGCATTTAGTCGAAAACGTCGAATAATACCGATTATTATGCGAGAAAAATATCGTCCAGATGGATGGTTGGGATTTATTGCCGGTTCACGCATGTACATTGATTTTGGTGAATTTGATGTACAAACAGGATTGGAAAAATTAATTAATGAAATTGAACTAAACAGGGTGAAACCAAAGCAAAAACCTCCACCGCCAAGAAACGTGTCTAGTGATGATTTACAATTAGTACAGAAAAGGTACGTGATATAGATAAATTTGTAATGTGGTAAAATTTGAAGCAATCTATTCAATTCTAGTAGTGGAAATGCTGACCAAGTACAAACTGTACAACCCAAATACGTCGTCAAATTTGATACACATAACATATCTATAGAATCGTGGTCAGAAGATGATGTTACTGATTTTCTACATGAGAATAAACTAGAAATCATGTTACCGTTTTGTCAACAGATTACTGGTGAAGAGTTGCAGTTCATGTATAAAATGTGTGAATCAAATCCAAATTCAATGTATTTATCTTTAAAAGCCGAATTATATAAAACAAAAAATAAAGTATTACCCATTGCAACGTATCTTAAATTTGTTAATCACCTAAAACAATGCGTTTATGAATCAAATTAATTCTCCACCGACGTTATACGTACTTACAATTCAACAATTCTCACGTTTCAGCGCTTTACGAGAAATTTTCTATGAAAATATTGATCTATAAGCAAGAGCAGAGTAAAACTGCATAATTCAAATTATTGAGTCGAATTTATGTAGGAACATTTGGCAAATTGTATACTTATTTCATAATATATTCATTTACTATTATCTTTTAGAAACTATGGAACTTGTAAAGTCCCTGGACTGTAAAGAAAAGGGTCTTATCAAGTTAAAATCCTTGTATGTTTGTATGTATGAGACTAACTACTAGCATACAAACTAGTACATACAACTAAACTAGTACTAAACTAAACAACTAGTACATACTAAAAACTTGATTGGATGCAAATGATATGGAGTAGGTAGTGAAGTATGGGGAATCGAAAATGAGTATGAGCGACCTCTGCGGTAAATCCTATTGGTCGAAAACATCATTTTCACTTGAATGGATGAAAATGATATGGAGTAGGTAGTCGAGTATGGGGAATCAGAAAATGAGTGAGTGCGACCTCTAGGATTGATTGATTGGTCGAAACTGTCATCTCAACTTCGCTGGATGAAAATGATGTGCAATAGGTTTTCGACTATGGAGAATCAGAAAATGGTTATGAGCGGTCTCTAAGAGTGATTATATTAGTCGAAAACTTCTTCTGAACTTCATTTCATGAAAATGAGTGGGTATTATGCCATTCCATTGACTTTAGTCTAAGGTCTTACAAAGTGGTTGTGGGTATGAGTGTGGAAAATACGGAAAAACGGCTGTCAGCCATGTTTGTACGGAAACTTTTGAATTTAGTTGATTCTTTTGTTTCTTGCGTGTGTGTCGAGATTTTTGACTGAAATGTGAAATTATCAACAGATGAAATCATCTAAACACTATTTCTAAATTTTTATCTATTGCCATTCGTAACAGTATTTTACCAATTCAGATGTCTTAATTATTAGTTAACTTTCCTTCAAGGGCACAAAAATTTAAGGAAACATTAGATTGCTGCATATTAGATTGTCCTTATGCGTGCTGTAACTTGGATTGATGAGTCATGAGAAACATAATGTCATTTTCCTTGGAGCCGTTAGTATTTCGAAAAGTATTTCTTTACTTTCAACTACTCTTTCCAATCGAAGTGGGTCTTTTTCCAGATATAGTTTTTTGCATTTGAAACAAACTCAACTGTCATCGTCCATTTTGTCCAACAGAACATTTGAAATTATGCAAAATGTTCAACTAGCCGTAGATAGTCAATTATTGCTCCACAGAGAGACATTGATCGCTCAATAAACTCCATGCTAATTAAAAGCAAGCGTAAACGCAATTTAACGTGTGCTATACTCGTAGGCGTATATCAGAATATTCCTTCGAAATGTATTCATGACTTTTGCGCGTGAAATTATATAATATATATCGTTAATAGCTACTGTTCGGTGCTTTATTTTAGACGAACATAAGTATTGATTATACATGATACTGTCATTTGCGTTTCATACGTTTGATCTGGAAGTCAGCAGCCTGAGTGCTTTGTTCTTGGCTCAGGTACTGTTGTGTACTAATAGTACTACTTGGTGTGTATGTCCCTCGTTCCGTTTGATGTTGATGGTAACTATTGTGATGTGATGAACGATATTTACGTTCTGACGGATAACGATATTCAAGATCTTTAATCAGCTGTTGGCAGAAAGGACCTTGCGCGGACACACTGGCCTTGATCTTTTCCACTTGATCTTTGAGAATAGCACGCGACCGTCCATAGTCATACTCGTTCATCGCTCGCTCGAGTACGTTCTCCGTTTCCACTCGATTTCGTTGGAGATCGACAGTGTGATTTATTAGAAGAAGATCGGCTGATGAATGAGAAGCTCGAGCTAGTTGGAATGGAACCGCAGTTGTAGTTATTATGAGATCGCTATTGGGATCCACGTAGGTGATTATCACATTACCTAATCAAAAAGAAATAATCTGTGTGTTTGAATTATTTCAATAATATGATTTGCCATTTTTGCCAATGTTCTAGTCAAGGATACTGTTGCTCATACTCACCAATGCTTTGATTGGCAAACAATAATGGTTCTTCTTGCGGCTGACTCTGTGACATCGGCTGTTGACTGGTCATTTCGACATTTTGTGCCTCGTCCACTTTCGACACTTGTAACTGAAAAACGAGATTTCGTTTTACCTCGGCATTCAGATCGTTGAGCTTGAAAGTGAGCTTCGCCCGGGGCAATTGTTCAGGCTCATATTTGTATTTCGAGTGACAATGGGTGATCTTGTACTGTCCGTTGAATTCAACGTTGACCCGAAGTTGTTGTGCGACACATGTGAAAAGGCCACCTAGAGTCATCGCGAAAGCAGGACCTACTGCTTGCTCTTGATCCTGTTGAAAAGATTGGCAAATACATTATGCATCGAAACAATCTGAACATAGGATAGCCATATGTAAATCAAGCAGAACTTACAATGTAAGTGAAGGTACCGCAGTTGCCCTGTTCGGCCAGTTGTTGTACCAGCAATGGTGATGTGTGTGAGGATCCGTAGCCGAAGGTGTGACACAGAACACCTTCGGGTAAGGTTTGCATCAGTTGCGAGTAGTCATGCAGTCGGTTATCGTGGCCGTCGGTGAGTAAAAGTAAAGTACCCAACGGATTTTTTGTCTGACGACTCGTGAATAGTTTGATGCCCATGTCTAAACCAGATCCAATACAGGTGCCGCCTGCACCATTGATATCAGTATTGATTGCTCTAGTCAAGATTTGTTGACTAAATAAAAAAATAGTTTTCAAAATATCGAAGTTTTCATTTGGTATTGAAAGTTGCATCTAAATGAAGAGTGTACTCACTTTTGTTGATTCATTCATTCGTTTCAATCCGTGTGAACGATCGAAAGCATTCTTATTGAATGAAACAATGGCCAGTCGATCGAGTTCATTCATCTGCTTTATGTTTGTAAAAACGTTTGTTTTAACAAAGCCATTTTTTGGCCCAACATCGACATACTTTGATCGACGACGCAGACGAGATCAATGGGAACACGACAGGACGCTAAAGATTCGTCCTCCGTCGGTAAGATGGCTGGAGGCGCTAGAAGAGTGACAAGGCCATACATATTTGATTCCTCGTCTCATGAGACACTTGAACTTTGTATTCGAGTGTCGTCGATGCAGTGATCAGTGGGAGATTGCTAGCTGTGTTGGACGAGGCAACGGCAGTTTGTCGGGCACAAGTGAGATGATCGGAAAGAGCTCGTACGGCAATCTCATCCGCCGGATCTTCGACCGAAGGAACAACCTGTAACACACATTCATGCTAGAATTACTTTAATGCTGCAGTCATGTGTCAAAAAGCTTTTTTCAATCCGGAATATGGAATGAAAACGTACAACTATGTTTGCTCTCGAAGTATGTTCTTATGCGTATGTTTTCTAAACCGAATAGGGAGGAAAATACTTGGAACATCGCTCACATTAATCACAGGCAATTGGTATGGAGTCTGTACTTGATGCTGCATTGGTGACTGAGTAGGACCTGCTAGTAGTTGGGCAAGTCATGCGTCGATTGTAGCTTGGCACAAAGGACATTCTTTGTTTTGTGCTTGGACATTCGTCACTAGACATTGAAGATGAAATTTGTGACTACAGGACAAGGTTAAAAGAGCAGAGCCCGCTACTAGAGCAGCGAGACAAGTGGAACAGTCATCAGTTGTATTAGGTGACGTCGCAGGTGAAGAAGCAGGCAACATCTCTTGTTTTTTTTGTGGCGATAGCGCTTGAGAAGAAGAAACTAGGATGCAAGCAAAGAACACGACGTTTCATACCTTGAAGGAGCGCAACACAGTGATTACATCACACCTTTCTAATGTCCATTGTAATGTGGACTGATGTGTGAGGGGGAAAAGTCAGGTGAAGATAAGACATATATCCTAGTTTTGTCTTACCTCTCACAGACAAAAAATAGAAAACTAAATACTAAAGAAACCGACAGGACTAGAGCATTAAGTGTATCCGACTTAACATGATCACTGGTTTAGTAAACGTTTTGCTTTCGTGAAAAGTAATCAGCGTGAAAAGCTGCGCCTAGTGATGCACCCTTATCGATTTTCGGAAGAAAAAATTCAAAAAATACTTGATCAGCGAAGTGTCGCATTACGTTTTGGTTTCGTAAAGAGCTTGCTAAACTTCGAGTGACACATCACTAAACACAGTTTTTGACACTGAGCGCGAATATGACGTTAGTTTTTGATGCGTGAAAAGTCGGTTTTTAAGGTTCCGAAAACCGTTTTTCGCTCTGAACTTCAACAGTCTACGTTTCTCTTTTCATACTCCTACACAGTAACTACTCGACTGCATGATAACGCTAAGATATCCAGAAAATGTTTACCCTCCCGTACGGAAAAGATATTTCATAAATAACCGCAAGATCCAGAACACTAAATGATGAATCAAATTCCTTCACTTAACTTACAGACTATATTTATCTTACTCAGTTTTTATGCGCTTCGAATGGCTTAATCAGAATTTTTTTTCACTCACTCATTTCCGAGATTCAGCAGTCATATTGGAGAGTATGGCACTTTTGGCTTAAAGTCGCGTTTTTGCCCGAAGAAATAAGCTTTTCAAAATTAGTTTTTTTTACCAAAATGTAGCATGCGCTCTCTTCTATCCACTGATGTAGTTTTCATATTTTGTCGGTGCTTATACAGCGTAAAAATAGGATTTTTATCAACCGTATAAATAATTTTTGCCGCCGGAAAACGTACATTTTTGGGTCTAATGGGCCTACAAAGAGCAACAATGAATACTTCTAATCTTTTTTTATCTACAAATATACTAGACAGAATATTTTGGCGCAAACCAATTGTCAAAAACGTTTTTCGTTACCAAGTTATGATTAAAAGAAAAAGCGCCGACACTGTATATTCATTCGCTAACAAAGTTTTTCATTACCAAACTTCATCGAACTTTAATTTCTTGAGAGGTTGCTTTTGCATACAAGTAACCTCTTGATTGCAAAATAACATGTGGGTGTTTCCACGCAGGTCCGCCCGCATTATACAAAAGTTTCGGCCGGGCGAAACTCACTATACTCATCAGATAGAGCATGCCAAGTTATATATAAATCGATATTTTTTCTTGCCGAAAATTAGTCCGTTGGTGGTGAACCGGTGCTTTCAAAAGTCAGTTTTGCCAAAAATCCCCACTAGGGATCGCTCACTTCTGGCCTAAAGAAAGCTTTTCTTAAAAATCTGAGACGGCCATTCGACAGAGCTCGGAAAGTTGTCTATAAGAACTAATTTTCAAGGGTTACAACTGGCAAGGTGGCTCGGTGGCAAACATTACAAAATATGCCAAAAAAGGACTTTTGCTGGGATTTCATAATTGCTGTAGAACGGTCAAAAAGTAAGGAAATATCAACTTGTCTATAGCCAAAATGTAGCCCAGTGTGAGTTCTATCTAATGGAGGAAAGGCAAACTCTGCAGCTCTCTTTGAACTTGAGTTATATGGTTCTCAAGGTTATAGGTCTCGACCAAAATTCCCGACTGTGAGCTCGATTTTCTCGAAAACTACACGTCAGATCTTCGTCAAATTTTGTCCGTGAAGACAATACGCTTAGCACTACTTATGATTAAAATTTTAAATTGTACCTTTGAGAACTTCTTGAGATCTCAAAAACCAGTTTTCGAGGAGATCTCCAGAAATCCATCTTTTCAAAACTCTTTTTCAACAGTTTTATAGGATAGAGCAGCCAATTCTCTTTCGAATGAGACGTCTTTGAACTTTTCACCATCTATAGTTGTCGCAAAATTGCAGTTTTATTAATGTAGGACGATTTAGAAGCGTCTTGCAGTACCCCGGTCCTGTAATGTCAATTACTTTGCCGAAAATCGCCCAATAAAGCTCGAAGACGTCTCATTC